CCTTGTTAAATCGTATGACAATAAACCGGATTTGAAATATATCACATGAGAATTTTCAAAAGGAGGGACTTTCAAATGATCGGTCCATTGTTTAAAGATTTATGTCCTGCGGAAGATGTAATCTACTAGTCAATTTATGCACTAAAACGCGAATGAGAATTAATCGACGCCGTTGTTAGGAGGATGTGCTAAAAATACGAATACTCGTTATAGAAGGTGCAAAAAAACCGAAAGTGCTCAACAAGATCAACTTTTCGAGATTAGCACAAGTCATTTACAGGGGAAATGTCAATCGGGGCAATGTATATTGACAGCTAACAATAGGGTAAATAGGGTTTAAGGCGAGGTAAACCGGAGATCGAGATTCACTCCCCTGAAAATCAGCTACTCACTTCGTATATCAATGGATATTAATAGCCACCAATCCCTCACTTGGGCCGACTCTCATAAGCGAGAACGCGCGTATTCTAAAAACTGCGGGATAGATTGTCAAGAGTATGCAGAATGTGTGATAATTTTAATGGGAAAATAGTCCGAAACTAGTCTTAATAATTGCAGACAGATCCATTATGCGTTTGTTCATGTGCATGCAATAAATAAGACAGCTTTAATGCCGAAAATATACAGTATTCTAAGCAATACAATGTTGTATTGGGCTGGAGTGTATAATACTATTATTACTTATTATCATTGTTGTGGATGGCTGTTGTTGTTGATGATGATGATGATGTTGTTGTTGTTGTTGTTGTTGTTGCCTTGTGCATCTCTTCATTTGTATTTGAATGGTGTTCTATTCATTACAATAATGTTGTATTATAAATCCTCTTATTCGGCATTTTGAATGAATAATATTCCATTGTTTCGTCCCAGACTTTCCCGCACTCATTGTTACACAATTTTTTTGTGCAAAATGAACAAACGTCCACTCTTTTGCAGAACGAAATAGAGTTCAATGGATCGCAAAAGAGAACCGTTATGTCCATTTCGTAATCAGCCACATTTTACCGATAAATAATGTAGAGATTGTTCGAATAATGGACTAAGATATTCTGTGGCTGTTGTATAAGATAACGACAACGAACAATAGCTTTTACAATCATTATCGTTTGTCGGTTACTCGAGTGCTCTTATTTGTGCAAGCAATGACCAATAATAGGGCAATACATCAACTTCTCCCATACTTGCACATATTTCCGTTTCAATGTAATTCCGAAAAAATTACAATAGACACAAACATAATTACCTTGTCAATTCTTTTAATTTATACAGCCGTCCATTATTATAAGTAGAATCCCTAAATGCAAGCTATAGCGATTGTATGTGCATTTCTAGGAACTATCGATGTAAATCAATCAATTCCTATATAAACAGCAGCCTGCCCCCGCTCTCGTTCGAAAAAAAAAATCCCAACGTAAAACAAATAAATAACTATCGAGTTTTTTCAAACCCCCATAACAACATGGTTTTAAATAATAACATAAACCATAATCAACTGTGCCGTACGTCCTTCGCTTTGTCAAACAAATCTTGCGCCGACGCTTTTGCTTCTTCCACCTCGGAAATACGACGGTTTTGCTCCCTCCCACCTTTGAGCAACTCGGGGCACGTGTCCGGGAACTCTTGGCCTTTTGCTCACCATACTTACCAGTCGGCCTATCCGAGAAAGCAAGAGGCTTTAAGAGGAGGTCACTAGCCTCCTGCAATGTTTTCTTTTCTTTTCGACGTTAATGTTGAAAAGATTATCGAGACGGCACGTCTTCATTTATTGAGGGAGACGTTAACTCACGGACCCACACGACCAATGGGGAAAGTTATTGAGGGGGATGATGCTTACAGGGCAGCTTCCTCCGATTGCTCACAATTATTCAGGTGGTTGAAGAAGTGATAGTTGGGGGGGGGGGGGGGGGGATTTTTACTGAGGTTTGGGGTAAAATTTTTTTTTTTTTGAGTGTTTTGTGTTTTTTTTTTTCCCTTTTTTTTTTTTTTGTT